TTCTGAAAAAGTTCAGATAGCTTTCTGTAAAATTCATCTTTCATTTCATCTGAGCTGCAGTCGGTGGGAGCGTAGGCAGAAACGACAAAAAGGCAACGACGTGTGTCCCTATCCTTCCGAGTTCTTACGGAGCCGTTTAGCCGAACAGCACATAGACGACTGTTGACGGGGATCCACTCTAACAATGTTTGTTCCGCCCTCATGCTTAGTGCTATCCCTACTCCTGCCAGTCCACGAGAGCTGGCCATCGGGTCACCAGATACACGGAGGGTGTATCTCGTTGGCTCTCCGTTTTGTCGAGGTGAGGTCAAGTGAATGACCACACTGGGATCCTGTATGTGTGTTTCGGACACACAACATACATCAATGGTACGAGATTCTAGGGTTCTAGCCAAGGAAGCCTGCTGACCGAATTGACATAGGGTGCGTACATTGAAGGCTCCAATGTGTAGTTTGGAGCGAGGTTTCAGTAGACCTGGGACAGTGTTTTGAGCGCTAGAATCGTTGGCTATGGTGACACTTGAGGGAGAAGCCGAAAAAAGAAGTTTGGGGTTTGAAGTCGATGTAGGAAGAATAATAGGAAGTGAAGAGGGAGGTTGATTATGAATACAGTGGTCTTGAGTGCTGTTAGAGGTATGAGGGCGGCTATCACTTCCCGGTTGCCCACACCGTGGAAGGGTTCTTCTGGAGGTACCTGAAAAGGAAATCGGATTAGAAGTGGTCTTGGTGACCTGGGAGCGTGACCGCAGTGCCCAAGAGATAACTGCTTGAGGTCGGTCACACACGACCTTTTATGGGCAATTTCTGTGTTAGCTCCGTACTTGTTGAAACCTTACCGCCGGAGACGGATATCCCTGAGGTAAGGTGAGGTGTGCATTTTTAGGGTCGACCTTTTCTAACCCCACCGCTCCTTGTGGGAAGGCAGCATCGCTGTCATGCTGGTTGACTGAAGGAAACACCTTACAGCTGTCACACCTCTGTACAGTCAGCAGTACGACTTCGCCTTCGGACCTTAGGTTTTCTGCTTTTAGATTTACCGCTCTTCAACAGACCGATCTGGTATGGTAGGACTTTAAGGAACTATTGTTCTAGCCAGTATAGCTTGATTGGTTTATTATGATAGGCAAGTACAACCACCACCTCAAGGTAGCAGCAACGGCTATATCATAAGACAACCAAATAGATAAGCTACTCACATAATTACTACTGCAGGATTGAAATGAAGACAGATGATATTAATAAAATAAAGAAAACCAAAGGTGAAACACTAAGACAATCTGAACACAATCTTAAGAACCACAATCGTTAGATAAAAAGCATGGCTACTTAAAATTATATTTTAACTAGATAATACCTAGCCTAGACAGATGAAAATGATATCAAATAAGAAAGAAAGATTAGTTCAGCGAAGAGTTCTCTTTTCGGCGAATTCATTTTCAAAGCTGTACAATCGCAAATATATATACTTATTTTTACAGGGTGATAATAATACTGATAATAAACTTATGTTATACATGGTGACGGTGAGGTTAAATAAACAAAGGTATTAGAAAAATTTTTTAAAACAAGGAAAGTTTGATAGTTAATGGCTTAGATATTCATCGGGTAAGGGTAGCTCAGCATGATAAAATAACATAAAATGTTGAAACAGAGATGAAATGTAATCGGAATGATCGTGGAAATAAAAACAAACCGGTTGGGGCTACAAGATTTGAAGGGAAGATGGAAGGTGAAGCAGGTGGCTGTAAAAGAACAAGAGTATGAAGAAAGAGAAAAATTTTTTAATACCTTAAGACCATGGTAAAAGAAGAGGTTGTACCAGTCTCTTTTGTACACATAATTCTGGTTTTTCAAAATGTATGGCTATTGCCTCGGCGATGCAAAGAAGATGCAGTCTAATTGTCTTAGGAAGGCTTCTACTTACCTTGTAGATGACTTTGAACGCAGAGTCTGTCTTGATTGAGTGACCTGTGTTCACAAGGTGTTCGATTATAGAACTTCTTATTGAGCCGCTGCCTCCTCTTCTTAGCCAAGCCGGACAATGTTCTTGAATTCTTTTGGATAAAGTACGCATCGAACGACCTATATACCTAGCTCCACAAGAGCAGGTAAATTGGTAAATGCACATTGAGTTGGTCAGATGCGATAATTTATCTTTCAGATTATTGGTGAACAGTGATCGGCTGGAGAATAATATTCGCAATGTTGCTGCGAAGAATGTATAGCAATGGGATCTCCACTTGGTCCATTACTGGCAGATTGCTTCATGGCCAGTTTAGAAAACAACCAACTTAAAAGAATTATAGAAAACCTCCACTTATATAAAAGGTATGTGGATGATATCTTTATCATTTGTGATAACAAATGTAACTTAAGTGATCTCCTAAATACATTTAATAATTGTCACCCATCAATAAAATTCACACTTGAAGTTGAAAGCAAACAAAATATTCACTTCCTTGATGTAGATATAACAAGGAAACAAGATGGTACTTTAAAAAGATCTATCTACAGGAAACCCATGTGGAATGGCCAACTATCAAATTTCCACAGTTGGGTTCCCATCAGCCGAAAAAGAAACTTAATAATAACTCTCGCCACAAGAATACGAAGAATCTGTAGCCCCGAGGTCGTAGAGGAAGAATTGAGTTTTTTAAAAGAGATACTTATCAAAAACGGATATCCTTCTATATTCATTGATAAGAACATGAAACCGAAAATGCCAAAACCACAAACAATTGCAGTAGAAAAGAAAATTTTATACATGAACATCGACTTCAAAGGTGATAGAGCCGCATATATCTTAAAGAGGAGAATTTCTGATTCTTTAAAAAGAACATTCTTCGCAGCAACATTGCGAATATTATTCTCCAGCCGATCACTGTTCACCAATAATCTGAAAGATAAATTATCGCATCTGACCAACTCAATGTGCATTTACCAATTTACCTGCTCTTGTGGAGCTAGGTATATAGGTCGTTCGATGCGTACTTTATCCAAAAGAATTCAAGAACATTGTCCGGCTTGGCTAAGAAGAGGAGGCAGCGGCTCAATAAGAAGTTCTATAATCGAACACCTTGTGAACACAGGTCACTCAATCAAGACAGACTCTGCGTTCAAAGTCATCTACAAGGTAAGTAGAAGCCTTCCTAAGACAATTAGACTGCATCTTCTTTGCATCGCCGAGGCAATAGCCATACATTTTGAAAAACCAGAATTATGTGTACAAAAGAGACTGGTACAACCTCTTCTTTTACCATGGTCTTAAGGTATTAAAAAATTTTTCTCTTTCTTCATACTCTTGTTCTTTTACAGCCACCTGCTTCACCTTCCATCTTCCCTTCAAATCTTGTACCCCCAACCGGTTTGTTTTTATTTCCACGATCATTCCGATTACATTTCATCTCTGTTTCAACATTTTATGTTATTTTATCATGCTGAGCTACCCTTACCCGATGAATATCTAAGCCATTAACTATCAAACTTTCCTTGTTTTAAAAAATTTTTCTAATACCTTTGTTTATTTAACCTCACCGTCACCATGTATAACATAAGTTTATTATCAGTATTATTATCACCCTGTAAAAATAAGTATATATATTTGCGATTGTACAGCTTTGAAAATGAATTCGCCGAAAAGAGAACTCTTCGCTGAACTAATCTTTCTTTCTTATTTAATGTCATAATGGGTGTATTCCGTTTATTAAAAAATTCCAAAGAAAATGATATCAACTAATTTTTAAGAAGAAATAGAAATGGAAACCGATTCAAACCGATGAACTCCTAGTTGACATTTGAACGCTCAAGACTATGAAATTATTCACTAAGTAAGAAACTAATAATCATTGAAATAAGAATTTATCATAGAAAACAGCCTCCAAATCTAGGTAGAGAAATGGATTGTTCATTTTGATAATCAACATCTTAAACAATATTTACATGGAATTCTTTCTGTGATAACACGAGTTAACTAATAAAACCTTGGAATCTTACATAGTTTTATGAAACCATGATAGCTGTTTCACACTAGTATGAGACTTCCTCTGGAGTGATAATTCATAACTCTACCGGGGATTATTCGAAGACCTTCAGGTCACGTAGAGTGCGCTTAACGTTCGGTCTATTGAGTTGATTTCGAATGATTTACAGGTCTAATCATCTTCTAATGGTAACTTTCGGTATGTGCATCACATCCGACATGAATGGATTCCAATTGTTATATCCTAGTGAAGATTACATTACGAGTAACGACTGAGACCTATTAATGAACTAATATTATTTATATATTCTCATGTACGATTTACTGTTCTTAAGCTATGTTCAGTTTATTGACTACTGCCTCCCACGTTCACAGCCACTTTTTGGCTTTATTGCGTACAAATGTTATTTCCTACTTTATGGTGCGTTGCAGTCTGTTTGTTTGATATATAAACACAGTATTTTTTGAAATATATGATTCGCATAGTGGGAGCTGGTATTGGTGTTCTGGACTCAAGTGGACGGGCTAGGCGGATATAGGACCAATAAGGACGCTAGGTTGCCCATACCGGTCGAACGTCATTGGTTTGGCACAGTGCTAAGATTGTATAAGTCGTATTTTGACTGGTGGATAAATCACGTGATAAAAAGCCGGACATAAAGTCACAACACCAATGGTTACGGTTTCTAACTAGAACTTCAAGAATTACCTCTTAAAACCAGTACCTCATTAGTTGAACTAAGGTCAGATGCTGATATGACCTATAAAATTCAACGATCTCAATAATCCCCCTTATGCAGATTGAGGTATGTCTAATTACTACGCGTACCTCATAATTGTGAATATTTAGAATAGTTAATTCTTTCGGTTAAAATATGGTACCAAAAAGCGAATATTTCGAATTACTCGATTTACAATTAAAAGCTTCACAATAAACACAATCAATAATAAATTCATATTCAATGTAAAACACCTTGAAAAGTTTGATAAATATTGTACGTTATGATTTGTTTGTGCTTACCTGGGAAATGCATTTTTGACTTATTTGTGCGTACACACATCTTTGATGAAGAATATGACTGTAAATCATAAGAAGGATGGGTTAAATCTGAAATTGTTGTTGTCATAGGCGCTGTTGCTGTATTTATTTTTAAATTATTATTATTACTATTATTATTAGATGAAAGAAATAGTAATAATTCAGGACTAGGTACAGACTCAATGAACTGATCTGGTTTAAATGATCTTTGGTTTAACGGTATACTACCAACACCGCTTGCAATTATATGATTATTGTTATTAATACTATCATTCTTGCTACTAGTATTATTAGTCGTTGTATGAGTGAATTTAGGGGATCGATTTTCATTACTATTGGTATTATCATTAAGATTTTGTGTATTACTCGAACTTGATGGATTATTATTAATGACATCATTCAATGTATTGGACATAAAATGAAACGGGCTGAAATTTGAAATGCACATTTCATCATCCAGAATAGTTGGAGGATTCTGAATTTGTTGTGGTGGTTGCTGTTGTATCTTACACGAATTTAATGAGGTTATAGACTCATGAATAACAGGGAAATGACTAAATCTCTCCTGCATAGACAGAGTACTGGATGAAGTTTGTAAATTATGAGATAAGTTCTGTGTATCCCTTATAAGAGTACTATATGGGTCATCTTTACACTTGAGATTAGAGCATGAAGAAAGGTTACGATCATAAGAACCGGATAATAACTGTCTATTGGATGGTGATGTTGAGGATAAATTAAAGGAATTGTTATATAGTTCTGATTGATTAGGTCTGCTTGAATCTGCTATTGAGGGTGTTTGATTGCCTTCCCATGATGTTATATTTAAATGCTTGCTGGGTGGCAGATGTGTTAGACGATTCGAATCACAATAGCTAGTGGGGGGTGAAACAGTTGTTTGTTTCAAAGGTAGAATAGGGGAACGCGATCTCGATTCTATGTTTGGAGAAGTTTTGGGATAAAAATATTCATCATAAGGTTCAAAAACAGGCCTTTTAATACGTCTCGATGAAGTAAGTGAAGAACGCTGTGTTGCATAACTTGATGGTTCTGAAAAAGAACCAGGACTTAAATGTGCATTGGTAGTTGAGCGATTAGCAAAATTATCTGTATTTTGATTGCTAATTGATAGTGCGGACAAAAGATTGTTATTAAAACAATCTTGAACTTCACTTCGAAAATTTTGAACATTTTCCGAACGAAATGAACTTAAATGATCACCTGATACAATAGGTTTCATATTAGGATCTATTAAATACGATCCACGATTATGAGTTGAAAACTCTTGAGATCCGAAATGTATTTGAGGGATATGATTTCTAGAACTAGAACGTAGATCTGAATTGAAAGGTTGGTTTGTTTCATCATCTAATATAATCTCTCGACATAACTCATTAACATGAGATTCACCTGCTACTACTCCACTAGTAGTATCTTGTTCGTGATAAATCAAATTCTCAGTTTTCTTTTCTCGTTCAGTAGATGTAGTAAAATGCATTGATGAACTTGGCGCGTGTGTAGCATTCATATGTTGGTCAGTTATACTCTCAGGTGTAACAGAATGTGTTATACCAGGAATATGTTTCTAAATAAAGAATTGAAATCAAAAGTATTAAATAAGCACTTTAATTCAAAGCAATTCTGAGAATGGTTAAAGTGGACTCAAACAATTTCGCACTTAAATCCTCCATAAAAAGGACAAAAATCCAATACGATCGTTAAACAGGAACAAATAACCTATTTATCTAGGGACTAATTGTTTCCAGGCTTTAGGAAACTCTGAAAACCATCCATTCGACTTGCGTTGACGACTGAAACCATTGAATGAGGTTTCATCTTATTATATATCAAGATTATAAACGAACAACTCAGATTGGGTAAGATTACTGTTGAGTTCATGAACCAAACTACGTTATATTACGATCGAAAATCTGAAAGCACTAGAAAGTTGTTTCATTCTAGTGTGGGACTCCTCAGTAATGGAATCTATGACCCCGCATCCGGAAATCGAACCAAAGATCTTCATTCTCGTGTGCGAATAGTTAATCTCTACACTAGTGAGCCGATATCCAATGACAGATAAGCCTAAATTCAATCGATCCATGATATTGAGCGACTGTTTTTCATTGTCTCCGGTGGTTAACTTTCTCACACCATATAAGATCGAACTAAATCGGTCATGACTTCTCAGTAGAACTCCGTGAATTTCCCTAGAACCTAGTCACTATTTATCACCTGATGATTATAAGCACAGGGTCGTGAAAATCGTTGAATCCTGTTGATACCATGATCCAATCTATGATTACGTTTGTCCTCGCGTTTATGGGTGTTTTCAATAGAGTAATAAGAGGAAAAACACTACGAAAATCGTAAAATGGTTTTCCTAAAATAAGATCATGCAACGTGTGCTATAATAACAGACAAATAAAAACCAAACATCATTCAGAAAGTTCTGATTCATTCGTCCTAAATGTTATAACAGTAACTGTGCGAACTACCACGTAATATTACGCGTATTACTTAAGACCAGAAGCATTTTTCATCGATTAACAGTAGCATACAACTAATAAGTGTTAAGCAAAATAAGTCCCAAAATTATGATCGGATAATTATGTGTATGCAAAATACTATTTCTTAGTTTCAACTAGCTAAAAGTTTTTATATTCGATTCTTATCGATTCAACTGCAAAAGCTTTTTTGAAACCCGACTAAACAATAACGAATTACCATTGATTAATAAGCTTCAGTGTCTTACAACTGTGATGAATGCTACCGATGTGCAAATCACAAGATGTATGCGTCATAAACAAGTTCCTGAAATAAGACAGTTGATGAAACAGAATTTAAATGTGTGTAAAAATATTCTTCGAATTCCGCTATGCTTTGATATATTGAGTTAGTTAGAAATCGATCAAATAATAAGTGCACACGATTGACATGGGAATGAGAAATACACCATTTGTGGCTTAACTTCCTAAGGGATATATATCAGTATATATTCTCCATTGAGTTAGTCAGTGAAATTGGTCGGTTGGAATCGTGTAAAGGAAGATTGCATATCAGTAACAACTTTCGAACACCGCACGATGCAACATTCTTCATTATGGCGATGGACTGATGCGACTTTAATTAGTTTTGTTCAGTGATTTACTGAAGCGAATTAAGACTTGGAGTACATAAACAAATTTTCATTTGCTAACACTTACTGATGCAATAAAAAACCATATTAAAGTGAATCAGCATATTTGAGTAAGAAAAGTGTAGAAAACATCCATATCAATACACGAAGTTCTAAAAAACAATAAATAATCAATTTCAACATAATTTAAGACTATCATTGTAGAAGCGAGTTTATTAGGTATTAGGTTGGTGGTAGTGGATACTACTCACAAGATTATTTGTAAGTAGTGTGTGACGGAAAGTAACATCATAGTCTCTACGATTGTCAGGAATGAAGAGTCAGTGCATCGAAAGCAGGGCATCGGGATAATATGTAGAGATCAGGAGCGAAAACGGTTCAGACTGCATAGCACACCGAAAGATGCAGATGGAAGATTGAATGTATGTGTATCATGTAAATAATACGTAACCTTTCGCGATAAATAAACATTCCTCCTGCTTATTGTCGTTCACATGTAGAGATAGTTAACGAGAAACCACAAACCTACGTTTTGTGTCAGTCGACACTCATCAGCAAACCATAGATAGAAATTTGATGGAATTGAGGCTCCCACTGAGATTTGAACCCATGCCAGTCAACTAGCTTGATATTTTACGTCGTTATTAATGAACTGTGTCGGGCTGCAACTGACCACTTGTAAAATTGGATCTTACTATCTACTACTATCTGGATAATTAAATTACCACTCCTATCGATAAAACATGTCATGTTTCAATAGATGAATTTCTAAAGAGTAACACCATTCCAACAACAAAAACCACACCAAAAGAGAATGAAAGGTTTAATGTGTCCTGTTAAATTGAAGTTTAACCAGTCAAAAATTATTTCATGTCTTAATCAACAAAGAATAGTTTTTTCTTAAATGACTATAAAAGTTATGTTGAAGCTAATTATAAGCATCAGAACAAAGACAAGAGAAAAACTCTCCACATTACATACATTTAACAAAACCGGTACTGTTTGCTTAAGTATATATATATATATATATATATATATATATATATATAATGTGGATCAATAATGTGCAAAACAAGGAAATTAGTTCATACTACTAAGTACGGTAAGAAAGCATCGCTATATATGTATACATATGAATTGACAGAACAAGGTAATCCATAATAGTACAATTTGAGCAATGTTTATCAAAAAGCAGCAGTAGAAAAACCAGAAAACGAAAATAAAATATGACTAACTGGTAAGTCTGATATTGATCCAGGGAATTCCAATGCCATTGAAACAGATGAAGTAATCGGTGTTTTAGTTCCAGTTCGTATAGAAGCATCAGCTTCACTTAACTGATCAGTTGTATTTGAGAAGAACGGATCATTATTATTACTGACTGCATCACCATCCGATAAGTAAGAAAATTTGCCCTCTTTACGGTTGATCAACTTTAATAAATAATAGTAATGGTGATGATGATGGCAACGGGGATTATGTGTTTATTATGTGGAAAAAAAACAACAGTAGTACAAAGTTGATTACTTACAGAATAATAATAACAATCAAAAGGAAAGAGAAACCATGGTATATACAACTTATTAGTTAGTTGTTTAAAAGAAGACATTTTATGATACTATTATTAACTACAATTATTACGTATTTATAGATAGTCTTACCCATCATCAAATCTGTCCCTCGAAACAAGTAGATAATAATAATAATAACATACTACACATGAAATTTCAGATGATTTCCGACATGCCATAAATCTGTATGGTGAAATCATCGCAAAATAACAGTGAACATTTGTTTCGATAAAGAAATTTTTAGATAATGCAATAGATGAGAAAAATTTAAAACCTGGTACTATAAGAATACCGATATAGTTTTCTACATATCTCATGAACATAGAAAGTGAAGTTTATGAAAGGGTAGCTTAAAACATGAAAAGTTCAAAATGATGTAGAGGAATATAACAAAAAATGTATCACCACAATTGTGATCAATTTTGAGTATCTTTAACTCTGCAAAAAATATTTAAGATCTCAAACAAGTACCCGAAAAAACTAATCCCATTCCGTGAGCAACAGTGGTATTATGTACTTTGAATACCTTGAAAATTTTTCAATATAGTTTAAAATTAGTTGACATAGAATCCATGTAATAATTTTTTTATTAATTATCGTAACTTATTAACCGTGTACAGGTTTGTGTTCTCCTCTTCAATAAATAGTTTATGTGCAAGTTTGCAATACTGTCCGACTGTTTAAACTGACGTATGTGAGAGAAATTCGAACTTATAAATCAATGGTTGAAAGCAGAATTGCTTGACTACTAGCATAAGTACTATACTATAGGTAAAACTCAATAATTGAAAATTTATAATCCAATTAACTAATTTATATTCTTTACGTAAAATATTAGGTTTCACCGTGAAATTTCCCACTCTCAAACTTTACTGTATCCAAATCAGTAATGCTTCAAAGATACCAATAGACTAAAGCTGTGCATTTAAATGAACTCAAACCGCTTATTTAGTCACTGGAATAAGAAGGGAAAGATTGCTGGATTAACTAATGTACATGTGTCTTCGTAATTTAAACTCAAAATCCATAATAAAATGTGAAGTAAATTAAACGAATAGAAAATTGGAAATTTTAGGACATTTTTCAGCAAATTCAGTTATACGACTTTCTAACTAAATTTGTACAGTGTCCTATGAAATTCACTATGAATTCAGTTATTAATATCAGCATTCAAATACCATAAGTTTTACGCGTAAGCGAATTTCGAAAAGCAAGTTTATACAATACTACTTCCAAATACAAAACCTAAAAAAGGAGTAAAAAATAATACAAATCATCTGTATTTAGATAGATAAAGCTGTGACAATTCAACAAACTCAAGGGTATTCACACTTTATGAATTACACTTATTGTATGAGACCTAATAACATCAAAACAACTGTCAGACAACATCAAAGAAAGAATCTTCGATATGAAAGTCAAGAAAGTTCAACTGTACGGAACTGAAAATTGGAGAACTACCACAACCATCACCAAAAATGTACAAGTATTTCTAAACAATTATCTACTCAAGATACTCAGTTTCCGTTGGTCGGATACTATCGACAACAGCCTACTGTGGGGGAGAACAAACCAGCTTCCATCTGAAGAGGAAATTAGGAAAAGACGCTGGAAGTGGATAGGACATACATAGCGGAAATCATCAAACTGTATCACGAGGTAATCCCCACCTTGAGATCCTGAAGTCAAAGGAAAGAGGCAAACTAAAGAACATATTACGCCAGGAATGCGGGGAAGACGTCAAAAGAATGGACAGCACTTGCAAACAACTGGAAAGTAGAGCTTAAGAGATAGAGTTGGTTGGAGAATTCTGGTCGGCGGCCTATTCCTCAAGAGGGATAACAGGCATAAGTAAGTAAATAATAACATGAATCAACCGAATGAATAAACTTCATCAAGGAAACGGAAATTCAAACTGGTAAACAACTACTTATTTAAATACACTCTACTTCAAGAAAATTTTCTTTAAAAAAAACATAACAGATGAATATGTATACAATCAATTGGTATGACAATAATGACATAGCCCTCCATTATCATTTCCGCTGATGAATGGAATTGTATTTTATGCATCACATGACTAATATATTAAAAACGTAAGTGCTAACACGCCGAAGAGGTTTCGAATTTGTAAAGAATCAAATTGAATGGACGAATTGTCGGAAAAGAAATCCATTCAAATTTAATAGTTTAAGGAATTAAAAAAGTCCAACTTATGTTTAATTTCTTGTGACTATGAAATGAAATTTTATTCTCCTACAACCGTTTTTCTTTAGTAGGTCTAAAGAAAATTTTTTGGTTCTATTTAGAAATATAGATTACAATGGGATATCCGGTTTATGTACCTTCGACAGTCTGTATAACCCAGGTAAATGCATAGTTATCGGCTTAATTGTTTTGTATATGTCTGGTGAAATCATCTGTTGATTATTTACACCATGTAATGACTTCAGCAAGATAAATATTGAAAAGCATAAAACATTGTGAAGTGTACAATACAAATGACTACGTCGAAAATGAAACATTTAGACTTTACGATGAGTCTGATGCTGAAATGATATTGAATGCTTCCCAATTTCGAAATCAGTCAATTTAAGATATTTCGTAACTATCGTCTACTAGTAATAGACTGCACGAGGTTAAAATTCATCACAGACCAAAACTTAAATAATTTCCATTAACCTTTCAGGATGACATCTGTTTGAGAGATAGTATTCTCCACAGATTAATCTCATTCGGGGTACCACCGAAAGGTAATGAACACTGGACAGTGCTTCACTCTAGAGTATGGGATTTATCAGTAGTTTCCTCTGACTTCTCAAATGTATACCAAATGAGATCAATCTATAACAAATACTAAAAATAAAATAAATCTCCACAAAACCTCCTCAAAATAATATTTATTTTACAAAAAGATTTTTAAACTTTCGGATAATCTATATGTGTAATGAAATGAATCTCAAATAATCTAGGATTAACTAGTGATTTATGTTTAAACTATTAATCCCCTTAAAATTACATTAAAACTTATCGTAATCATTTGATGAACTAATTCATATCCTCAGATTACTGTAAATATCAGGAATAAATGACGAATGATATAATATACTATGATATTTTTTTAAATTTTTCCAATGTATTACACTAATATAATCAATAAAAAAACTAAAATGGAACAATAACCTTCCGACAAAATGAATCACAAGTGTGAACTTTGTTTTGTTTACTTCAGTTTGAGCAGGTAAGTTGTACCACTAGTTCTCAGAGAAGGTCAAGAACATAAATTTATGTTTTGTAATTAAGTGAAATACCAAACAACAATATGGGAGTAGACATAGATACTGTACACACATATGAAAATCATTTGACAACGAAAACTTTGCATCAGTAAAGTAGAAATATGAATTAATATCATTAATAGTTGTTACCACTTTTTTATAAACTAGTCTTATTTGAACACCCTTGAAAATCTGGAAGCACTGTACGGCTGTTTCATCGTAGTGTGGGAGCTCAACAGAAGTGCACACCTACGACCTTGCATACAGGAATCGAATTCAAGACCTTCAGTCTCACAAGCGAACTCAGCCTATAGACTGCTAATCGGGTACCCGATGGTACTGGGCAACTTCAACCAGTCCAGGATATCGCGAGACCATAGTGACTAGTGGAGTTCAACCATTTCGGGTGTGAGACAGTTATTCAAACCAAGCAATTGAGGATGGGCGCACAATATCGTGAAGTTGCACATTAGCACCGTCAAATACCGGGTCACAGATCTAGAAGTTAGTCATTCGTTCAGAGGACCGAGGGTATGGGGTTCGATTCCGGACGAGAGGTCGTAGATCCACAATTCTGCTAAGTCCCATTCTGGGATGAAACCGCCGTTCAGTGATCTCAGATTTTTAGTGATGAACCCAATAAAATTAGTCCGTGATTTAAAATCTATGGAAATTCCCTACAAACCTTATACTGATAAAATAAAATTGTCAACGTCTACAATATAATGACTAGTACATAATGTTAACTTGAATGAGATGAAACGTTAATTGAATTTAAACGATTAATACTCAGAATACATAACAATGATATAGGGTGACAGAAATGTACGTACGTACATCAGTTCGAGTTGCCATACCACATTGGCACAGAGTTGCAGTTGCCGATTCGAATCCCGTAGTGGTAGAGGTAATAAGAGTATAAGCAGTAATCGGGAAGATTAGTGTTTGGAGATGTTACTTAAAGAGTATAATACAGTGAAATAAATTTGGGAATAGAAAAAAGAGACAAGGAGGAATCCGGAGATTAAAATTTGGGAGAACACAAAGAGTGGATGCACCTGCGCCATTGCAAACGATTTTGAGCCATGTCATTCAGGGTCTCTAACCATCGGTTGCTATCATCTCGCGGTCCCCAACCAGGTAGTCTACACCTACCAACATGACTCAGTCCACTTGTCAGTGACTTCATGGACTTGTGCCATGTTTTGGTCTGGCCGCCCCTAGCTTTCTTCCAACCTACTCCTATACCACTGAACATAGCACGTCGAGGCAGTCGGTCGTTGGGCATACGTAACACGTGTCCCAGCCATCTCAACTGATGAAGTTTCACTACGTCATCAATTGATTTGCCATCCTTACCTAGTACCCGTTTCCTAACAACTACGTTACTTACTCGATGGTCCCATGATATACGAGCAATGTTTCGAAGACACCTATGATCAAATACTAGTAACCTACGAATATCCTCTACTCTTACCGGCCATGTTTCACTGCCATAAAGTAGGACGGAACGAACTGCTGCGCAGTAAACACGTCCTTTGGTTGATAGACGGATATCTCGCCTACGCCATAAATGACGCAAGTTGGCAAAAGCTAGTCGAGCCTTCTGTATCCGTGCTGAGATTTCGTCACACACCAGACCACAAGGGCTGATGAGACTTCCAAGATAAGTGAAGCGGTCGACACACTCAACTACTTCACTCCCTATCATTAGTTCGGGTGTCGATGTAACCCAATCCTGAAGCAACATTTTGCATTTCGAGGGGGAGAATCGCATCCCGAACATGCTTGCATTGTTGCTTAGAGTGGTCAGAAGACTCTGCATTTTGTCAGCGTCTTCACCAAATAAAACTATGTCATCAGCATATTCTAAGTCAACAAGTGAACCTCCCGGTAGAAGTTCAACCCCTGGAAATTTAGATGAGGAGAGTGTTATCTCTAAAAGTACGTCGACGACAAAGTTGAACAAGAATGGGGAGAGTGGACAGCCCTGACGAACACCACTTGAGGTAATCAATTCTGATGACAGTTCGCCATAAGCTCTCACTCGACCAGTTGTGTTCGAGTAGAGAGCCTTTATAAGGTTAATGTACTTCTTTGGTACTCCTTTCAGTGACAAACACTGCCATAGAACCTCACGATCAACAGAGTCGAATGCCGCCTTAAGGTCGAGAAATACTACCATTGTGGGGCGTCTGAATGTGTGTCTGTGTTCTAGAACCTGACGTAGTGTGAATATCTGATCTATACAACCACGTCCAGGTCGAAAACCAGCCTGGTTTTCTCTAATCTGCTCTTCACGAGCTTTGATTAGGCGTCGAAGTATTATTGAAGCTAATATTTTAGACACTATATTAGTCAAACTGATTCCTCTGTGATTGTCACAAGAGGACTTTTGTCCTTTCTTATAGACTGGCACAATCAGTGATTGAGACCAGTCAGATGGGATTACGTCCAGTTCCCAAATTCTACCTAAGACCTCAGTTAATCTCATTGCTAATACTGGACCACCATCCTTAAAAATCTCAGGAGTAAACCTGTCAGGGCCTGCTGCTCTCCCTCGTTTCAGATTTCCTATGGCTTTTTCAACTTCGTAAAGGGACGGAGGACCTACATTAACTTGCCATTCAGGTTGACTGGAGATCGTGGGAAACCGAAGTGTGGCTGAAGGCCAGTTGAACTGATCCCTAAAGTGTTCTGCCCATCGATCCAATCTCCTGGATTGAGAATGAATAATATGTCCATCTTTCTCTGAGATTGTTTCGCTAACGGTCGGGTTCCTAATTCCGGTTTCCTTAACGAGTCTGAACAATTGTCTGCTATTACCTATTGCCGCTGCCTTTTCCATCTCTCTTGCTTTCGCTACCCACCACTGTTCGCGATCATTGCGTAGACTTCTTGTCAGCTTGCGCTTAAGCTGACTCCGCTCTTCATTATGTTCAGAGCCAGGTGGAATGAGTTTCCGAGCATCTATCAGTGCGATAGATGCTGCTGAGATCCAGTGTTGCTCCCTAACCTTCTGGTTTACCTTACTAGCAGATATCACTGCTGTTTCCACAGCTTTTCGGATATCATTCCATGCTGCATCGGGGTGGGCATCACATACATGGCTGCCTAACTGTTTTCCTAGTTGTTCCTGAAATATACTCTTAGCTTGACTATCATTAAGTAGGCCCTAAGAGGTTTCCTTGCAGCGTCTTTCCTACGTCCAGTAAGACGCAAGCAAATACGCGCTCGCACTAGAGCATGATCTGAATCTAGGCATGTGCTCCAGAATGAGCGACAGTCTTCTATCGAGCCCCTCCATCGGTGGCTGATAGCGATGTGATCTATTTGGGTCCAACGTTGGGACGAATTAGGGGGTCGCCATGTTAAAAGATGTTTTTCCTTATGCTTAAAGTTAGTATTTGCAAGGAACAGGCGGTTATCTGAGCATAGCTGCAACAGACGGTCGCCATTATCTGTTCTTTGAGCCACGACACCATAAGATCCACCTAGGTGTCTTTCCCTATCGCTTAGTTTACCTACTTGAGCATTAAAGTCACCGGCCACTATTACTACATCCGAGCGCCTAGCTTTTCGGAGAAGGTCCGAAAGCTTTCTGTAAAACTCATCTTTTACATCATCTGAGCTGCAGTCAGTGGGAGAATAGGCAGAGACGACGAAGAGGCAACGACGAGTGTCCCTATCTTTCCGGATTCTTACTGTTCCGTTCAGTCGGACAGCGCACAAACGACTGTCTACTGGGATCCACTCTAAGAGAGCTAGTTCTGCCCTAGGACTCAATGCTATACCTACGCCGGCGAGGCCACGGGAAGCAGAATCAGGGCTTCCAGATACACGAAGCGTAAATCGAGTCGGTTCTTTATTTTGGCATGGTGAGGTCAAATGAATGACGCTACTCGGATCCTGTATGCGCGTTTCGGAGACGCAGCACACATCGATGGCGCGAGATTCTAAAGTTTTAGCTAAGGAAGCCTGCTGTCCTATTTGGCAAAGTGTTCGTACGTTAAAAGCTCCTACGTGTAGTTTAGAGCGTGGTTTCAGGAGACCAGGAATGGCGTTCCACGTACTCGAATCGTTTGCCCTAGCGGTGCGAGGTGATAAAGAGACGTGAGGAGGGTTAGTCATGGAGATAAGAGAGGTATTAGGAGGTGTAGGAAGGATTTGAATGTGACCACCTTGGTCTCTTGTGCTGTTACGGGTATGAGGGCTGATGTCACTTCCCGGCTGCCCACACCGTGGAAGGGTATTTCTTGAGGAACCTGAAAAGGAAATTGGATTAGTGTTGGTCTTGACGACCTGGGAGCGTGACCGCAGAGCCCAAGGGACAACTGCTTGAGGCCGGTCGCGCACGGCCTTTTTGTGGAAGGTTTTTGACGTGTTAGCTCCGTTCTTCAAAGGGCCTTACCGCCGGAGACGGAAATCCGTGAGGTAAGGTGAGGTGTGACATTTTTAGGGTCGACCTTTTCTAACCCCACCCCTCCTTGTGGGAAGGCAGCATCGCTGTCATGCTGGTTGTCCGAGGGAAACACCTTACTGCTGTCACACCTCTCTACAGTCAGCAGTACGACTTCGCCCTCAGACCTTGAGTTGCTGCTTTTAGTCTTACCGTTCTCCAATCGACCTGCCTGGCATGGTAGAACCTACAGGAACATATGTTCCAGCCAATATAGCTCGGTTGGGTCATCACGATAGGCAAGCCCGACCACCGCGTCAAGGTAGCAGCTACGGTCGGGTACAGGATTGAAGGGGATCTCTAATTACTAAACAAATTCTAGAAAGTATATTAGTACAACAAACCTTTACAATTCACTTAAACATCATAGAAGCAATAGGTGGTAGTTTTTTTCTTTGCTTAGTGTATTTTTCTTTAATAACACATAATTCAGAAAATGTGTTATCTGAAAATCAGAAGTGATGACAGGATATATTTCTTGTGTTACTATTTGTAATTTTGGTCACCATTTAAATTATTCTTGACTAATTAAGTTCTAATTAACATATAAAAGCATGGAAAAAAACCAAACAATTGGTAAGCGATTTATATTTGATTTTAAAATCGATTTAGACTAAACTTTGAACACACTCATTAGATTTTATTTGAGTAACCTAAATATACAGACAATTTGTTTACAGAATTTAATATATCGTCTTATCAAACACCTACACTAACTTTAAGAGTGTGATTTGAAAAAGAAATACTACAATTCGGAAGAAATTATGTGGAATCTAGAATATTTTTCATGGAAAAATTAAAGAGTATCATTAATGTGACTGAAGAGATTGAAACAAGTCTAAACAGTTGAAAACAAACCACAAATTGAAAGGTGAGGAAGACCTTATTAGAAAAATTGGACAAAAATCACAGTTTATCAACAACACCAGCTAGTGTCAGTCGTCTATGTCTACAAAGAAGTAACTCGAAACGTAATTAACATTCCTGTTTTATGATCATTGCAACAAGATCTTCGGCCTTTCTGAAAATCAATGGAGTAACCAACGGTAAAAGCCCATCTGGTCATACTTTTTTATACTGCGATAGCTGTCTTTATACCTTATTAACTTTAACTAACAATTCCATAAATACACATTATCGACTTTTTCTGGTTTGCCATGACGATCCCAATGTCTCACACTTAGAAGTTAAAAGGTTGAAATAATATTACTTAATAATTTGTGAGTTAAAAAAGATGTATTAAGAAGTCGCACAAAAAAATCAAGATTATTTTGTAAACAAGTAGAACTAAATATAAACATACTTCTGCTATATCTCTATTGGTTTTTGATTCATGTGGTTCATTGAATTCAGTATATCGTAATAAAATTTTGTCCATATCTGAACTAGCATATTGAAACAACTTTTGTGAACTCGTAAATACAATTAAAGCTATTTCACAATCACACAGTATACTCAACTCGTATGCTTTTTTCATCAAACCCAATTTACGTTTTGTAAATGTAACCTAAATAGGAAATAAATATTTTAAAAATAATCTAATATGTATGATAACAAAATAAATAAAAGGATAATAAAATAATCACCGACATGTAATACATACAGTAAGGGCTGTATCAAAGATATGATGTCATGGTTAATAATGTCTATAATTAAGCAGATGAAACATATTTGTGTACATATCTAAGTAATTCCTTGGAAGTCGTAAGTCAAAACTATTGGGACAACCTGACTAAAAGAAAATCTTTGTGAATTGTTTTTAATTCTTCGTCAATCATACAATAAGCTAATTTCATTAGTTGACAATTATTCTGTTTGATTAAGCGTTTTATGAAGGTGAGTTTAAGTAGGCGATAGGTTTCATGACGAGTTCACTCCAATTTCAGAACCATTGAAAATTAAGGAGCACTGTTTAGTTGTTACGTTGTGGCTTGAGACTTTTCAGAAGTACGCACTACATTAGGAGTCGAAACCAAGACCTACAGACTTCAAAATGAAAATGTTTCCCCCTCAAATAGGTTAGAATTCAATGACACTCATTTCCAATTTCAGTTAATGTTAAGTGGTAATCATTGTTGGGTAACTGGATTGCTTGCCACATGCCTGGGATTTGACAGTCATAAACCATCACAAACATTTAAAATATCTATCACAAAGTTAGTCACTAGCAAGTATACGATATTTCCTAGAAAAAACTGGAAAGAAAACACTACAATCTATGACATACCTGACGATTTCGTTCGTCAGCAATCTTCTTGATGAGTATTTTTTTGCGACCCATGAAGTAAAATTTAAATAATTCCAAAAAAACTATAATGATATGGTAACACAGATGGAAACATCAGCAACAAAAAACTAAGAACAAACAAAGAATCCAATAAAATGGAATTACAATAACAACGAAGAGAATAAGAAAAAAAGTGACAGAAAGTGTATAAATAGTTTTCGTTTTCAAATACAATAAAAAATTGTAATAACTGTAACAAGATATGCAGTCTAGACGAATACCAAATAATATTTGGGGAATAATATTATTCTATCTATGGTGATGATAACAGGAAGAAAAATATGACAAGTTAAAATAATTGCTCTTATTTTTCAGAATATTTGAAATAGAAACAAACAAAACAGAAACTTTAAATAAACAATTAATTAATTAAATTACTCTCTCGCTCTGTTTTGAATAAAATATTTATACTTATGTATAATTGATATGAAATAAATTAGAAAATAAACATATTAATATACTGAAAAAAATTAACGAAAAAAAAAGTCAAATAGGTGAGAGCCGAAAGCAAATAATATTATAAGTTCTTTATGAATCTGCTTTTCGGCGCCTCCTCTTTTGCACCACCTAAAATATATCTAAAATCTAGCTAAAGTGTTTTAAGTAAAATATGGAAAGACTAAGTATGTAATTATGTATGAATGTGTGTGTGTCTGGACAAATAAGATAATATATCAAGATAATTTTGTCTTTTCTAGAAACCCTCGATTTTATAAGTATGCAGACATAGATTAGACTTTCTTGAAGATTTAATGATATGAAAATCTGGTCGGTGCCTAACCAGATCAGTTACAGTATAAATTATCTGAAAAGTATTGGAAAATAAAAACTAAATTAGAGAAATGAAAACTACTAAACTACTTTGTTTGACAATTAAAACGAAATCATAGATCTCAGTTCTAATTCGTTATAAGAAATTAATTATAAAATAAATATTTCATACATTGAAAGGTAACTTACAGGACATGACTTTCGTTTTTTCATTTGATTTTGGGCCCCCAAATATCCCGAAGCGGCCGAGGGTGAGGAGGATTCGCTCGCTATCTCGAAATGCTCTCACATCGCCACGCATATACAGCCACTGTCAGAGAAGTCCTATTAGCCTGATCGCTGCAGAGTGTTGTTTACGAAATTGAGGAGGAAAGTGAATGTTCAACGCTTTAACATGGTTGGTGGATACGGAGGACTCACCTAGGAGGGTTTAAAAACCCCCATTCTAACCAATGGTGCACATAGGCTCTAGGATCCTGAGGGGACAAATGGCGTATGAACCTATTGTTGGTCACTGGCTACCACGGGACTGAACCTCCTAACGCTGCTTCACTACCCTGTGGACTGGAACTCTAGGTTGAAAGTTCGAGTGACCACTGAAGACCACCCGCTTCATCCCGGGTGCCCGGGAAGTTTCCAAGCCCACACACAAACCAAATGGTTGCAATTAGAAAAAAAAATTCACGCTTTAATTCTCATTCTCGCAAATCATACTCAAAACCACTTATTAACCATCGTTTGCATTTTACATTGAGTCACTTGTCTATTCTTTTATTCCTATTTTGTATATTCCCTAATTCTTCAAATTCCATAAGCTGCTCGCCTATCTAAACGATCTCAAGTCACTGACTGATCAGAAGTTGAATCTTACTAACGAATATGCATTATAAATCAGCCTTTTTGAAACATCTGACATTCAAACTGGCCTACTTCGACACTCGCACACTAACGCAGATCGGACAACCGATAGGGTTGGCTATTTTTTTAAAAAGTAGTAACATCGATGTCTGTTGTCTATCTGAGACCCGTATTCAAGACTCTAGTGAAGTACTACAAATTCGCTCTCCATCTGGCCGTTCGAAAAGCTTGATTTGTGTGTTTTATCCGGGGATCCTGCAGCATCTTTGTCTAGTTTTTCTGGCGTTGGCGCCGCGCTAATTAGTTGGATCCCTGTTAACAGTCGGCTATGTGCTTTTCGATCAGAAAGCCCCATCAAAGTGAGAAAATGAGTGAGAAAAATGGTGTACTTCCGTCATCTCCGTCAATGCTCCAACAGACTGCAGCCCGGGTGCGATCAAGGATGAGCCTTATTACCAGTTAAGTGTTCTACAGAAAGTGTGCCCTGTAGATATGGTAGTGCTAGCCCGAGACATGAATTCACAGGTCGGGCGTCTGAGCACAGGAGAATCATTTGTGCGGCTAATTGGGACTTGTTAGTCGCTAGTCAGATAACGGTGACCTACTGTAACTGTAAAACCAGTTTCTAGCTAGCATTAACTACAGGGACGGTCATCACAGGTGTGATACGTCACGTCCTCCATTTGCATCTCAAACCTGAACTCAGATTGATCACATTGCGATCGGCTACCTAAAACGTAGTTATGTACAAGACTGCTGCTTCTTTTGGTGTATCGATCTGGACTCTGACCATGCCCTTACCTGCGCTAATAATGTCTTACATTTTGGTGGCCAACCGACTTACCGCCCTAAACGAATCGATGTCAGCAAACTGGTTGCGGCTTCTGTTGCAACTAAATATCAAACCGAGCTCAGATTAAGGCTAGCTATCAAACCGTTGAGAATTATAGATGACCGTTAGCTGCAATTGCATGATGCCATGAAAGTGGAGAGTAAAGTGGCTTGTGGTTTTGCGAAACGTTCCGCATGTAATCACTTGGTTTCTATAGGCCCTTTTCAATTAGTTGAAGCACGTCGACCTATTCCGGAAAAACGCGAGTTTGACTATAAAAGAAGACTGTTTCGTAATGAAGTTGAGCAAAGCTTGTGTAAGGACCGAGAAACCCGGTGGTCGCAGCGTGCTAACGAGTTGGGAGCAGTAGCACCTGGTAACTAACAAACGTTCTGTCAACTCATCTGAGACACTGGCAGCAAAACGTCTGGTGGGCAGAGTTTTTCAAGGAACCGTTCAACTGGTCTGTTGCCCGGCAATATCGATCAGACTGCCCCGTCTTCCACGGTCAGTGACGACTAATCGACATAACAAGAAGTTCGCAAGTAACTGCAACTCTTGAAGCGCTACAAATCACCAGACCCAGATGACTTAATTCTGGCCTTTTTAGTGATAACAGCGATCTTTTGGTCAAAGAATCGATTGGGTAATTTATAAACTTCTGGTAGTTAGAGTGTTCAAATATCGTGAAACAAGTCGATAGTTGTCCCCATCTTTAAAAAGGGTTGATGTTACCTATGCAACAACTGTCGAGGGATAAGTCTACTTTCAACTAATTCCAAACTGTCGGTTTCTGTCGTACTTCGTAGACTGTTTGAAACCCGGAAAGATTGACTCCCGAGGAGCAGGCGTCCTGGTCGAGGGTGTATTGAACATATCTTGACCCTATGAAAAATGTCAGAATATCGCCATGCTTATGAGAAACCAATAATCGTAGCTTCTTGACATCACGGCTGCCTTCGCTTAGTTGGACAGGACTTTTCCCTAGAATTGTCTATTGAAGAAGAATGTGCCGAAAATTTTACTAACATCTCGGAAGCCCTACATACAAAAATTTCAGGCAGAGTGAGGGCATACAACTGCCTCTCTCGGTTGTTCCATTCAAGTAGTGGGGTTAGGCAAAGTTGCCCAATCTCACCATTCCTCCTCAACTTTGTCGTCGATGACATTCCAGAAACAGCTCTGATGGATGTAAGTAATGGTGGTGTGGATCTGTTGTCCGGAAAAAGACTTATCGACCTTAAGTATGAGGATGATATTGTCTTATTGTACGATGATACCCAAGCCATGCAATCCGCATTCAGTCAGTTGGCAATTAGTGTCCGTAAGTACGGAGTGTGTGCAAAGTGCTTCTACAAGACTGGCAGGACCCTCATCCTGCACTCACCCTGGGTAGTGAGCAGATAGAAGTAGTCGAGAAGTTCGTGTATATGGGTAGCTGCATAAGTGCCGGCGGTGGCGTGAGTGATGAGACCAATTCACGAATAGTGAAATCCAGAGCGGATTATGCCAGTCTGGGCCATTGTTGATGCCTTCGTGACGTTAGTCTGGCTGAAAAAGGTCGGGTCTACAACACGTTGGTGAAAGCAATTTCACTCTATGCTTGAGAAACCTGGTCTCTCAGAGTTGAGGATGTTAGACGACTCTGTGTTTTATCATCGTTGTCTCCGAAGGATTGCCGACATCAAGTGGCAACACTATGTTAGTAATGCAGAGGTTCGGTATCCTGTGTTCGGGTACAGAGATGATAATTTAGTCGGTGTCATCATCTTGAAGCACCGACTTCGTTGGCTTGGACATATCCTACAAATACCGTCTTAGCGAATTTCACACCATGCATTATTCGCCAACGCTGAGTGGTCGGAAAAAGCGGGAAGGTAATCATCACATAACATGGTGCTGTGGTATGAATTAAATCTGTACAGAACTGGTTTTAGTTGGTCCTTCAAGACTACCTGGTTGGTGCTCTAGAGATAGTGCAACACAGTGGATCGAGACGTTATCAGACATGGCTCAGAATATAAGGAAGTAGGGATCCTGTCGTAATTTTCTTTATAAAAGTGATTGTAACTTCTTTAACTCAAACAAAATGCTATCTGGCTAAATTTTTTCTAGATGAAATACTTCTCCCATTACTATTATTTCACTCTCATACACTGATTTCCAATCATGGTTGTTGTTCTTTTCTTATTATACTCGTTTATCTTCTCTATCTCTTCGTAACCTCATTTTTATTGTGTGGCACATATATATTTGGTGCCCCCCTTCTATCGATGTGCCGATAGTAACGATAATCTACGACGTTTAAATAAATAAACTATTTCAGTTCCAATATAGCAGTAATTTTCGGGATACTATTTGTTTTTTCCTTGTCGGTGTCACCTCTCTGTATCAAGACGAAATGAGGCAATTTAAATTTATTATAATTGTCAGTAAGTTATTCCCGTCCATCTGTTTCTGGTCCATCGTCTCGGCGTCAATTCAGCAAGTGAAAAACCGAATAAATCCTAGAATTAAAAATAAGTTTTCCAGTACTACCGTAAGAATCACAACGCGGTTTTATGCTGATAACACCGTTTAGTCTAGCTATTATTATTAACCCCTAGTAATCAAATATTTTTACCAAGACGCTTTGGAGAGAATCGTAAAGACCTATCGAAATTCAATGAAGAAAACTCAATGTAATTCACTATTATCCTTATGAACAGTGAGGCCAAAAATATAACCACTAATTAGCACAATATCAACAGAAAGAAAGCAAACGTATTTCTGGATTAGGAGTTAAGTGTATAGATAAGTTGGCAGAGAAATTTACTCCAATGATTAGTGAATTTAACTCGCATTCAAATTCATTAAAAACCATATGATGTTAATCTCTACAAGCAGTAGCGTTTGTCGTAAAATTAATCAATATCAAGGACAATCTTGGGCGATTATCGAACCATTTTTTCCAACCAATAGCTGTTAGAGAACATGCAAGCACCAGTTCATGGTGCACTACCTTGACATATGGACTATTAAGTAGGAAAGTTTGAGTGGGACGATGGGTATCCGATCATAGTTACTGTCAAGGGATTGCTCGCACAATGCGCAATCAACAAATGTGAGCTGTTAATGTTCGGAGCAGTGTGATACGATTTTGAGCCGTCATTCAAGGTCTCTAGCCATCGGTTGCTATCATCTCGCGGATCTCAACCAGGTAGTCTAAACCTACCAACATGGCTCAATACACTTGTCAGTGATTTCATGGACTTGTGCCATGTTTGAAATCTGGCTGCCCCTAGCTTTCTTCCAACCTACTCCTACACCATAAAACATTTCTATGATATTTTAGGACCTAATCAATAAGATTTTGTGAATTGCACAAATAATGATAGTCGTAATAATAATAGTAATAATAACAGGTAGATTGGAATCGCTATCACGAAATCTCAGAATTTTCGATATAAATTGGATTGTCTTGTTGGTTAAGTACCTGTGACAGATTCTCTCAAAACCACTTGCCATGAATTTAGAAAAGGTAATAAATCAGGTCAATTACTAAATTTATTGAAATAAGGTGAAGTAAATAAACAGGGAAATGAAGTAGTCATTTGGACAAACAGGAAGATATTTTCGATAAAGGATAAAGGTAACTTTTTGTGTCTGTTTATAATGTATTCGAGCACAATCACACAGCACAGTTGAACTGCTTATCTATATAAGCACCACGATCAGCGTTGACATTTTAAAACTATCCGGGATTTTACTTTGGTGATGGAGCTGCAAACTCCTCATGTAGTTCCTCTAAGATTATTCCGAGTCCCGAGCCAAGATAGATAGAGAGCGTTGGACATAGGGTCAGCAACCCCATCTCGTCGATACAATCTTGCTAAAAAACGCTGACCAGAATAAACAACTCAAGCCATTAAAACTGTGCTCTACGAGTTGAAGGATCTTCATTTAGAAGAATTATGACAACTTATGATGAAAGCCAATATTCTTCGGAAGTCACGAGACCGATGCTTTTTCTAACAACCAGAGCAACAAATAATATAGGTACATAGAAATTCCAAACAATGTGGGAGACTATGAGGGCCAATCAAATAGCTACGAAATTGAGGAGATACAACTTGTAGGTGCTTGGAATAAGTGAAACTCATTGTACCCAAGCTGGACAGAAAAGGATGGATTCGGTGATGTTGATGTACTCCGGTTAGGAAAAGGATAATACTTTGCGCACATACAAGGAGTTGCACTGATGCTGTCCAAAGAATCACGAAAAGCACCTATAGGATGGGAATCATCAAAACGTCCTTCAAAACAAAGGAGGGATTCAAAATGAATGTTATCGTGTTATACACCCACCAATGATAGCAGTGACTGTGATAGAGATCAGTTCTACTCTAGGCTGCAATCGATTACAATGAAGTGCACAGGAAAAGACATGAACGTCAGACTCAGAATGGACAACACTGGGTATAAAAGAATCATGGGGCGACGTGAACTGACTGGGAAAAAGGAACAAGAATGGTAACAGAATGACAATTTTAAGTACACTAAACAAAACGGTTATAGGCAGCAATATTTCCACACAAACACATACACAAAACTACGTGAGTCTCACTGAATCACACCACAGAGAACCAGATAGATCATATTTACATCAATAAAAAATTCAGAAGGTCAATAGAAGATGTGAGAACCGAGAGATGAACTAACATATCTTCAGATCACCACCTGGTGGTTGCCAAGATGAAGCTGACGCTAAAGTATCACTGGACTACTGGAGAAACATCATTACAAAGGTTCAATACACCCTTCCTTCAACGTCCTGACAAATTCAACGAACTCAAGATGGCTCTCGATAACATGTCCCGAGCCTTACCAGATCCACTCAAAGAGAAAACTACTATGGAGGACAATTGAAAAGGGATTAATGAAGCACTAACTTCAATGTGTCAGGTTGTTCTGGGCCTTCAGAAGCATCATCATAAGGAATGGATCTCTATCGAAACCCCAGACAAGACTCAAGAAAGGAGGGACAAGAAGACAGCAATTAACAATATCAAAGAAAGTCAAACACACAGAAACAAAAAAACGAGATGGGGCATAATAGCTGATAAGCATAAATAAGTGGAAGACCTAGCAACGACAGCAGAAAAGGCTGCAAGAGAATGAAATATGAGACAACTACATGACACAACGGTAAACTAGCACGCAAATAGGAACCAGAGAGCCCAGTCAAAGACAAAGAAAGCAAGCCAGTCACTAAGATTCAAGAACGGTGGAACAGATGAATAGAGCAATTTGAAGAACTCTTGAATGGATCAGCCTCATTGCATGAACCGAATATCGAAGCAGCACACACAGACATCCCTGTAGATGCCACTCCAACAACGAACGAAGAAATCAAGGTGGCCATCAGACAAATCAAGAATGGGAAAGCAGCAGGACCTGACAATATACCAGCCGGATCATTGAAGTCAGATATAAAAGTAACTGCAAGTATGCTCCACGTTCTACTTAGGAATATCTGGGAGGGGGGACAATGGTCGGCAGACTGGAAAGAAGAATACACCATCAGGACACCAAAACGAGATCTCAGCAAGTGTGAGAATTACAGAATCACCACACTACTATCAGTACGAGGAAAGGTTTTCAACAGTGTTACTGAACCGGATGAAAGATTCAGCAGATATCCAACTTCCGGATCGACAGGCCGGATTCCGTGAGGATCGGTCATGCGCAGACCAAATAACAATACTACGGATCACTGTTGAACAATCGATTGAAGGGAACTCGTCATTATACATTAACTTCATTGACCATGAGAAGGCATTTGACAATGTGGATGGAAGAACCTTATGGAACCTTCTTTGACATTATGGTGTACCTGAGAATGTCGTCAATATCATACAGAATCCATACGACGGACTACAGTGCAAAGTCATGCATGGAGGACAGCTGACAGACGCATTCCGAGTGAGGATCGAAGTCAGACAATGCTGCTTACTCTCCTTTCTCTTTCTTCTGGTTGTTGACTGGGTTATGAACACCACATTCGAGGGAAACACAGAATAAAATGGACAGCTTGGATGCAACCAGACGATTTGTACTTAGCAGATGACTCAGTCCTTCTATCCCACACACCAACAAATGCAGGTCAAGACAACTAATCTAGTAGCAGCCTCCGTGTCAGTAGGTCTCAACAAACGCAAGGAGAGAAGCAAT